TGCAGAGACAACGTGTCGAACTGCTCCCAGGACGACGTCACATTGCCGTCAAACACACCCGACTCCCGTTGGGTTCTGCTCAAACACGCCTGGCTTTGGATCCGCAAAACCCAATCTGTCACTGCAGATTTATGGAGTGTTTATGTGCCCAATGTGGAAATTTACAAGATTGTTGAGTGGTTGTTTTCCTTTTAGATGGATTACATTGGTTGAATTAGTTTCAGCGCATTGAAAGTTTTTGTTTTTGTTTCTTTTCAGGGCAAATATTGACGAAGTGGAGACAGAGGTTGTGGAGATTGAAGCCAAACTAGACAAGGTGAGTCTTCTGATCTCTCTCTGTATGCTATCTTGTTAATTTGATCAAAAGAACAAATGAGCAAAGATAAATAAATGACATGATAACTGAAATATGCTAGAGGTAGGACTGGATATAATTTCATTAGATTTCTTTTATCTTTTGCAAACTTGTTCCCTTCTGTTGCAGAACAAAACATCTACCGTGAACACGTAAAGGTGCGCACGTGTCTGATATTTGAACCTGTTTTCGGACACGCTTCATCGCTACACCGGGCTTACAGTATTAATAAACAAACCCATTTTGGGTTCTTCAAGCAGACAGCTGAGATCAAGTCAAGCCGGTTCTGGCTTCTTTTCAGGTGTGATGAACTGTGATGAAATAGAAAATCTTCCCTTTGGCCAGAATAGTTGTGGAGCACACCCAAAGGCTTGTTTAAAGCCAGAAGACGCACTAATATTATTATAGCAGGATTAGCATTGCACCATTTAATCAGAATATTTTAGTAATTGAGTGTTCTACTGAATAATCCATGGATTCATTAAGTATTTATATAGATGTGTGCTACATCAGCTATTCCCGGTATCCTCCTCTGCCGTGTGACCCGCGTGTGCTCTTAACATTTTACTGACTGGATCTTGCACTACTCGGTCCAGGAATGATAAAGGGAAGGAAAGTTTTGGCTCATTGCATTCAGATTTTATTCAGACGGTTGAGGCGCGATTATAGAATAATTATTGATTCATCTCTCTGCCTCGCTCACCTTGCTCTCTGATTATTTTATAGATTTAAAGCAAAAATAGAGAAATATTAGGGATCTTTGGTGTGTTTTGACTACTTTTATATTTCCTTTAATGTTCCACGACACTATTTGTTCTTATCGTGTGTTTTGTGGTTGTGTTCAGCGCCCTGGTCTGCTGATAATGGTGGAAGGAGCTTTTGGCCCTGTCCACACGTAGCCGGGGATCTGCCATTACGTAGATATTTTTCTACGTTTTGGCCTGTCGTCCACACGAAAACGGAGTTTTTTCCACACGAAAACGGATCTTTTTAAAAACTCCGGCCAAAGTGAAGATCTGCGTTTTCTCCGTTTTGGGTGTCTGCGTGTGGACAGACAAAACCGGAGTTTCAAGGTCCGCAACGTCACTTTCCGCGACAAAAAAATGCTGACATCACGTGTGCGACCTGTGTTTACACTAGCCGACAGCATGGATGCCCTCAGAGCTGCGCTCGCTTTATCAATTGTCCAAGCGCTTTCTGCTTGTTTGTTTTTGCAAGCGGAATTACTGCTCCTTGCGGAAGACCACAGACGAAGGACGAGGTTAAGAACGGGGGAAGTACTGCCGCCTACAGGTCTGGCATGTCCTTAACAACGTATTTATCCGGGTACGTGTGGACAGAGTTTCTTTGTAAAATGAGGTGGTGTGGATGCAAGTTTTTGGAGGGGCGGATATTTGTTTTTTTAAAAAAACGGCTACATGTGGACTAGGCCTTAGAAATAAATAAACTGGAACTGAACTGGAAACTGAAAATGTTTATGGACATAATATTATTTTGAAAATTGTGAACAACTTCCCTTATTCAGACTTTAAGGTGAAGTGTCCAAAACCTTTGATCTTAATAGTAATTATATCAGAGTATAAAAATACCACAGAACAAATAAAATAAACTAGAATGATAGATAAATGTCTATAAAAGAGCAAGTGAACTCATTTAAAGGCTTCACTTTTATTCTGAAAGGAGTTCTAATCATTTGTTTTCTTATAATTATTCACTCTATAATTTAATAATCATTTAATGTTTTGCATTCATTCCAGGCCAGTTAAGTTCAGTTTAGTCTCAGATCTAATCCAAGTTCATTTCTACAAACTGACCAAAGCTCGATTTCCTCGTTGGCATCTTGGTAAATTAAAAAAAAGACAGAGAGTTTGTAAAAAAAATCTTTTATCATTTCTGGAGGCAGAACAACTTATTGTGCAGTCAGAACCAGAACCTTGCTGCATGTTTCCAGGCATTAACTCATTCGCTGCCAGCCGTTTCCTGACCGGTAAAGCCCTTCGCTGCCAGCGTTTCTCACCTTTTTTTACCGTTTTTTTAAGAGTCACAGAACGTTGCGCGCTAGGATGATGTCATCGCCAAAACAACCAAAACAAAGCGGAGACTCACCTCTTACATCAGGAAGAATCCGCGTGTTTCGAGCGTTATCCGTTCTTTCATAATCCGTTGTTGAATTGTGATCTGCAGAAGCTTTTCCGGTTTGCGCCTCACTTTTTTTACAGCAGTGGCCCAAAACGATCTCCTAACACATGGATGTTCTGCTTCCTGATGACGTGTGATGTATGCGGATGAAGATCGGCTTTAGAGCTGGGAAGTTTGTTCTCACGGTGCGGGGGCTCGTCCGACGCCCACACAGTAAAAACATGTAAATGACGACTTTAGTCGTCATTGGCAGTGAATGAGTTAATGAAAGAAGTCGTGCACCATTTGGGACCCACATCTTTCACATGCTGACACTGATCTGAGGTCTGTGTAACAAAAATGAACACATCCCTAACCCTGAACGTCCAATGAGTAAAGGGGATCTCCAGGTTCTGCTGTTTCTGCAGACATTAGGGACAGCTCTCCTGTTAGACTAGACGTTTCTAACCCAGAAGTCTGTTTCTCTGTGGTGTCTGACTCCATGTTTCTAACAGTCATAGGTAAAACCAATGGTTGTCTTGTTTCTGCATAATGAACACCATCACTGTCCAGTGTAACAGTCCAGGAAGAGGTCACTGAAAGGCAATTAAAGCTTCTAGCTCTCCTAGAACAAGGCAGCCAGAAGCTTTTCCTGTAATGCTCAAATTAGAGGTCCGTCTGGTTCTGGTTCTGGTTCTGACCCAAACCTGGCCCCGATCTTGAATCACAGTAAAAAAGGATTAGTCAGCGCTGGTCTTTTACCACCCATCCAGTACTGGAAATTTGGGATGAAGATCATCATGTCTTAGACCATAGTCCTCAGCCAGACATGGCCAACCCAGAATTTTTCCAGGTGGAGGATTGGCTTGACTCACTCAAGGTTAAGGTGCGGGAGCTCAGAGAGGAGTAGACCCAGCTGAGGGGGTTTGGGCATCTGGTGCACATTTTAGATATGTTTCTCCTGGAGGTTTTTCTGAAGAGATGATGTCTAACAGCTGGTCTGGGAACACATTGGAGTCTATCTGGATCACATGGAGCCTGTAACTGAGAAGGAGGAGATCTGGGGTTCTCTTCTTAAGCTGATGTCCTGATGACCTGATCCTGAATAAACTGCAGAAGATGACCAAATTTACTGCTTAAAGGGGCATTATGGAAGTGTGACAGCCAAAACATGTATAGAAATAATAAATGTCTTCTTCATACATTCTCCTGCAATGCCCTGGTCCTGTAGAATGAGCCCTGGCATTTTTACTGTGATTGCCTGTTTTTCTGTAAAATCACAGAAAAAGAGAGATGCTCGGGTCGAACAGGCTGCTTCATGCGCGTTCACGCTCAGGCATTTGCTATCCGTAGCTTTAGCAGCAGAGAGTGAGGTAGTGCCAACTCAGCGACTTTGTCGCTGTTCCTAACGCCTAGTGATGAACCTAGCTACATTTCTGAGGACCCTTAGCTACTTTCTTCTAGATATTTCCTGCAAATTAGCAACAAAATAGCCATTTTCGCTCCGAACAGTTCTTTGAACGTTGTTTCAGCTGTCATCAATGATATAAGAGCTACAGATACAAAAGATGTTGCTGGTGCTTTAGCTCATCTAGAAAGTCGACGGTCTCCTGCGTTGGAGTTCCGGGTTCGATTCTGGATGTGAACAAAATTTATTTAGAGCTTATTTTTTACATTAATGGTATATTTTTTACAGTAAGATGCCCAAATTTTTATTTGAGACTTGCTGAACGGCATTGATTTCACAGATGAAAAAAGATGTGGGTTCAACTTTCATTTTGGAACAATTTTTCAAGCAAGGGAAGGGAATGATCTGAGCATGCAGGAGGACTGACCCATCATAAACCTTTGTCGGCTGTGCTGAAGAGAAAGGTACAGAACCACATTATTTCATTAGTTAGCTGCGTGTTCTCCTGTCCTCTGTCCTCCGGGCCACACACACACACACACACACACTGAGCTGACTGCCAGCTGTTATTTTCGTTGAGTGTGTACGTGCACGAGCCTACTATTGAAGCTGCCGTTTCGCTTTTTGCCTGAGGGGGCAATCGCGAGCATAAAAATTCAAAGCTCCGTAAAGTCCCTTTAAGTTTTTCAACACTTTGGGATTTTCATTTTTGTTTCATTCTTACCTTCTGAGCTACTGCTGCCTCTAAATTTTCCCACCCCATTGGGTTGATATGGGATTTGTTACAAAACTCTACCTCATAGATGAAAGTGTTACCTGTCAGTGTCCCTGTCCCGTCTTGTCCCAGTCCTGTTTTCTTGTTATCTTGTTTCTGCTCATGAGTCTCTGCAGTAGAAGAGTGCATCATCACACAGTAGACTTCAAAGTCGTTCTGGCTTGAGGTTTATTAATGTTTATTTATGAATTTTTGTGCTAATATACTTAAAAGAACAGTTTAAACTTCCTTAATGCCTTGTACCAAACAAATAATTTGGCTTCAATGGAATTTCTTTTGTAACACTGATTTTTATCTAAGGTGAAATGCAACAGATTGCTCCATGGAGCTAGGGATCCTTCCTAGTGGTTAGGAAAGATCCCTAGAGAGCTCTACAGACGTTTCCTGGACTGGGATTGCCTTTAGATTCCCAAGCACGACCTGCAGAGTCTCCATGCTTTTGCAGGTGCTCGATGTTCAAAGTGTGTTACTTCTCTCTGCAGTTGGTGAAACTATGCAGTGGGATGGTTGAAGCTGGGAAGGCATACATCAGCGCCAACAAGCTCTTTGTTAATGGCATCCGGGATCTGTCTCAGCAGTGCAAGAAGGACGAGATGGTCTCGGTGAGCTTCTGATGGAGCAGTGAGACTCCACCTGGTGGTTGATTGCAGTGTATTTGTCTTTAGTGAATAGGGACTCCCCTCCTGTTGGGTATTGGCCTTGAAGCTGTTGGTGTGTGAATGGTCCTGATTACTAACGGAGACTGATGCGACTTGGAAATTCTGACTGGACCCATTGCAGACGTGCTGGACTGTTTTTGTGTCTGCAGACGTTTAACAGTATTACAAGCCTTCCTGGTTTAAACCATGTGACTAACTATGAGTTTCCTATTAAAGCTATGTTCACATTTGTGGTTTCCATTTCCTTCCAATTTCCTTCCATTTAGAAATCAAACACTTTTAGTTTTTATCATGTGACAACTTCTATTTGCTTCATCTATCATATGAAAACACAAAGCTGAAGTGTGCTTTGTGTTACTTTCTTTGCAGGCGTGCTTAGAAAAGTGTGGAGACAGTCTCCAGGAAATCATAAACTACCACATGGTAAGTCAGCCGTGATGTAGTCTGAATATTTGAGGCAGAGTCACGCTGTAATAACACCATCTGGTGCAAAAGGCCGTTCCAGGGTGGTGTTTTCTCTCCAGCACAATGTGAGGAGGCTGATTCCAGTTTTGTCGCACACCAACCAGCCTGTTTTTCTGTCATGGCTTCATTAAAAACTCTTATCTAGGGTTTATAAATATGCTGTGAACTAAAACACACAAGACTGTAATCCCCTCCAACTAGCAGGTATTTTCTCTTTCATTTTTTGTAACAGTTCCTCTTGAAGTGTTCCTGAACAAGTCTGTTTCTACTCATTGCCTGTTGCAGAAAAGCTGAAGATGGACTTTAATGTTTTTGCCTGTCTGTTTGCATGTGCACTTGTGTGATCTGTAGCAACACATGCCATGCACCACTAATGTTTAGAGTCAGCCCAATACTGGATAACGGCAGATGCTACCAGCTGGGAGTCTTTACAACAGATCAGAGGTTGTGCACATTTTTTTTATCATTTCTCACATTGTCGTAGTTTCAAGAACAGCAGGCATCTCTTATCCCTGTCCTGTTGCACTAGGTGGGATGTGTGTTTTGTTAACGCTAACCTTTTAAGGCTGCTGCCCCCTGCCCCCTTGTGCCTTATCAAGTCCATTAGTTTGAACCCACTGAGTGCATGAAAGTGCACACCACGTGTGCGCGTGTGTGTGCACTACACTCCTGAGTGAAGCTGCAGGGGAAATTTGTCATTACAAATTGATTGTCAATCTATTGATTGATGAAGGTCAGAGTTAAAACCCTGGGGTTGATTGACTTCAGCAGCTGAAAAGTGGTTGGGTCTTCTGGTAACGGTGGAGCTGGGGGTTTGCAGCAAGTGGAGAATCTTGGCTGCTCTGACTGATGTGGTGGACAGATGTTACAACCACTGGGGTAAAGAAGCTGTAATGGCATAAAGCTCTCAGACTCACAACCCGACTTCCTTATGCTGCAGTGTGTTATGTAAGACCACATGTTAACATGGGAGATCCCATGTAGGCTCACACACCCACTGTAGGAGACACTAAAGCCTAGTCCACACGTAGCCGGGTTTTTTTAAAAACGAATATCCGCCCCTCCAAAAACTTGCATCCACACCACCTCGTTTTACAAAGAAACTCTGTCCACACGTACCCGGATAAATACGTTGTTAAGGACATGCCAGACCTGTAGGCGGCAGTACTCCCTCCGTTCTTAACCTCGTCCTTCGTCTGTGGTCTTCCACAAGGAGCAGTAATTCCGCTTGCAAAAACAAACAAGCAGAAAGCGCTTGGACAATTGATAAAGCGAGCGCAGCTTTGAGGGCATCCATGCTGTCGGCTAGTGTAAACACAGGTCGCACACGTGATGTCAGCATTTTTTTGTCGCGGAAAGTGACGTTGCAGACCTTAAAACTCCGGTTTTGTCTGTCCACACGCAGACACCCAAAACGGAGAAAACGCAGATCTTCACTTTGGCCGGAGTTTTTAAAAAGAACCGTTTTCGTGTGAAAAAACTCCGTTTTCGTGTGGCTGACAGACCAACACATAGACAAATATCTACGTTTTGGCAGATCCCCGGCTACGTGTGGACAGGGCCTAAGAGGTCTTCAACCATAAAAGTTTTCAGGTTCGGCTAATAATTCCCCGGCTAGCTGTGTAGTAACGAAACACCTGAATGTGACTGCAGACTGTCCCAGGACGTGGCTCACTCATATAAAAGTCTGATAGCACTAATGGTTGACCCCTAAAAGTTGTTGCTGTGGCTAAAAGTGAACAGTATGCCACAAACTCAGACAACCAATTTAGAAATGTGCTTCTTTTGTTTGTGTAGCACCAATCTTTCTATTTCTATATTTACAAGTATTGTCTTATATCCTGGGATCTTTCTGTCATTCTTTGGTTAAATGTGACATCATGGGAATTCAGTCAGAGAAAACACATTTGGATTGGGCACCACTGCGCTCCAGAGCATCTGTAGAGGGACCGCCAGTCCTCTTGAACAACACATGAGGTCATTTGGGACGTGCTGTTTGGGTCGACAGAACTCCTGACACTTTTTAAAAACATGTTTCAGTCTAATTGACTCACAACAAAACAAATATTAACAGGTGTTGAAAATCGTATCTTTATTCATTAAATAAATGCATGGGTTAGGACAAACTCCTAACCACGGCACCACTTCCGGTAAGCTTTCATAGAAAATCTCACGCAGCTTACCTGTGACAGCCTTCGGTCAATTCCACCCTCCCACAGAAGGGCTGAGCTGTCTGTGATCCACTGATCTAATGAAAAAAATAGCTGTTTAGCAGTAGGCCGAGCTAGACGGAGATAACGTTATCTATTTGGATCTTCTGAGATGGAGAGAAAACACAAAGACAGGGTGAAGAAACTATGAGAAATAACAAACGTCATCGTCCAAGTGAAAACGACAGTTTGTGAGGAGAGCAGAGAGCTGGAGGAGGTTTTTCCCCTTCTTGAGTCTTATGTTACAGAGCTTTATGGTGACCACCCACAGCAAAACGTCAAAAAGCCAGTATTGTACAAAATAATCACCAATAAAAACCGAATCAACTGCAGGCAGTTCATATTTAGTGGAAGACTCGCGTATTGTTTTTTTTTGTGTGTGTGTGTGTGTGTGTGTGTTTGACCTTTGGGACGATGAGTGACACAAGCAGAATGTCCCCCTCAACCTCATTCATTCTGACTTTATTATTGGAATCTGTCGACAGTTCCTGTTCCATATGTTTATGTAAAAGAGAGCTTTGGTTTTCTTCTATGACTTGACTGATCCATGTGTCAGTATTTATGTCAGACTCTCACTCGTGTGGTCTGCTGTGTTGCACCATTAGAAAGTGTGCTTTTACTGGGATCAGCTGGCCTCCTCCTGCGCGGGCTCAGCTGATCTATAGAGGAAGTTGACAGCCGATCGTTCTGGCCAGCTCATTAGAGCTGACACCCTGATTGGACCCCTGCTCCCTTGTGCCCTTCTGAAGTCCATTAGCTTGAACCCACTGATTGCATGAAAGTGCACACTATGTGTGTGCACTACACTCCTAAGTGAAGCTGCAGGGCAAGTTGATTGGGCAGCAGTAGCTCAACAGGTTGAGCGGGTTGTCCAGCAATTGGGAGGTTGCAGGTTCGATCTCGGCTACGGACAGAGAATTTTGCTGTTGTGTCCTTGGGCAAGACACTTAAGCCACCTTGCCTGCTGGTGGTGGTCGGAGGGACCGGTGGCGCCTGTGCTCGGCAGCCTCGCCTCTGTCAGTGCGCCCCAGGGCAGCTGTGGCTACATCATAGCTCATCGGTGTGTGAATGGATGAATGATGCACTGTAGTGTAAAGCGCTTTGGAGTCCTGACTCTGAGAGGCGCTATACAAGTGCGGGTCATTTACATCGACATATAAATATTGGACAATGGGTTTCCATAGGCTCCAATAACACGTTTTTGAGGCCAAATGGGAGGTGGCCACCACCGCCATTTTGACCGTGTCACAGGTTCCGTCAAGCCCAGACAATTCCACAAAAGGGAAGAGAGGTGGAGCTGAGGGTGGGGCTGTAAGGCTGGGATCAACTGACGACACCCGGTCGAACTAGCTACAAGCTAACCTGAAGCTAACCCAAAGCTAACGCGGAGGTGGGAGCTAAGCTAACGGAAGTAGCAACCTAGCTACAACCGGAGTTAACTCTGCACAACACCAGAGCTTCTGAGTCAGAGATACGCCGGGCTGACCGCTGGGTAAAACCGGGTGGAACACAGAGGTCTCCCGAAAGCTGCTGAAAGCCGGCAGCCCGCGCAGCAGACAGAACCTGTGATCAGACAGAGATGCGCCGGGCTGCGGGGAGGCGAGAACGGGTGGAAAACATCGGTCTCCCGAGAGCTCCACAAGCCGATAGTAGGAACCCAGCTCCACCAACATGTTATATTTCAACCCATTTTCTAAAGTGCAGCATTATGTTAAATGCACTGGGTTTTACCCTATTACATTTAAATTTCATGGTTAAACAGTACATGTTAAAATCTAAGCTCAGCTCGGCAGTGACCTAAAATACATAAATATCATTTTACTTACAGAAATAAATGAAGTGGAGACTCCTTGGACGCTTTATTAGTGCAATTAATGCCACATTAAGTCATTTTGTCCAACAATTGCACAAAAAATATCCAAAAAAGAATACACACACAGAGACTCAAAATCCCGGAACAGTTTCCAGGCCAGACCGAGGCTCTACTGAGGCCTTTCCACGGAGCTAGCTCTGTGTTCACGTGGGTCTGATGCTCATTAATTATACCGAATTTTAGGCTTTTAATACACTTAAACAGAAGAGTGAGAAAAAAATTCACCCCCCTCAGAGTTGTCATGAGTGTAAACTAGATCATTTAAACCAAAAACATGTTTTGGTACCAGGATGTAAACATGTTTATTTCTGCTGTGAAATTGGTATTTTTAACATGGGAGTCAATGAGGATTTGCTCGCTTCTGACACCAGCCCCTAGTGGATGAGAGTGGAACTGCAATTTTTGGTACTTCCGGGTTGGGCTCAATTTTTGAGCCGCATTGTGGGGGCTTGGCCATTTATCATATAATTCTCTTTAACGTGTGTTTTGAATCAGAACATAGGTAGACCGCTCTGGGAAAGATCAACATGGTGAAAAATATTTTACATCTTTATTTTCCAATCAGGAACCACAGCATGTGCATTTAACTGTGTTGCAATTCCATCAGTGTCATGATGAATAAGACATGACGATGGTTATTTCTGCTGTCGCTCTTTGTGCACGCTTTGCTGCTCCTACTCTGCACAAATATTAAATGGCCTCATACACACAGGACCTCTTGAGTGCCAGCCGCGCTTGTCTGTCGCATTCACACTTGGATGCCTTTTAAATCCCGGAAAATACAAGCCAACTCATACACTCACCGGACACTTTATTAGGTACTCCCATTCTTTACATGAAGTCTAATGAGCCAATCACATCGCAGCAACTCGCAG